CGCCGCTCACGCCGCCTCCCCCTGAGCACGATAGGGACACCAGCAAGCGGCATATTGTTGAGGGTGCGCGCGGGCGATTCTGACCAGCACACGCATTGTGGCCCGTTGCTCATGCGCCAAGACGGCACACCGAGCGTGTACAGAGCACGAGACGCCGCGCCGCAGAATGCTCCGCGTGCAGACTGCGCAGCGTCGTGCTACCCGGCAAAGACTCCCGCGGCGATCCTGAAGATGACATCGTCAGTGCCTCATGCGTCGACGGTCAAGAGGCGGCGCACCTGGGACAGCCGGTCAACGTGACTTGTCGCGAGCGCGAGCGGAGGAACAGTCGTGGGTCATCACACGAGCACGACCTGATGCGCGCAAGATCCCGCACCCGCTGTGGCGTGAGACGGCATCCATTCCACCCATACGCCGGGCAGGCCGCACACAGACATCCCGCGCCGTGCCTGCACCTTGGCATCACGGGCGGATCGGCACTGGACAGGGCAGCGCATCAACGGCCCGGGGCACACTCATCCACTGCTTGAGACGGATGGCACGGGCTGCGGGCAGCTTGGTCGTCGCGTTCTGCGGTACGTCCAATGTGCATACGAACGCCGGTCGCCGGCAATTCAACGTGCAGGCGCGGTCTGGCGACGTCTTCCTCTGCGCCCGGCTCTTCCGCGTCACCGGACGCCCATCGTCTTGGCTACATGAGAAACGCTACGCAATTCATGTCGTAAGTACAATTGTGCATCCTCATCGTTTTGATGCCCCCTCCCTGTAAAATACGTCGGGATGCCTGTGAATCGCCGACCGGACAGACTGAAAAGGGTGCTCGCGCGGCATCGTCGTGTACCCGCGAGCACCGCATCCGGTTGCGAACGCGCTGGCCGCGGCGACAACGCGGCCACAAATCGGAACGAGAGAAGTCAGCATGAGCGCGGCACGATGGCGTACCGGCTGCATGCTAAAACTTGATGCACGGACCACCCCCACGCTCGTGTTGTGTGTACGCGCGCTGGACGGTCTTGCATGTGAGACTGGAAGACGGCGGCATCGTCAGTATTCCACGCGTAAGTGGCCAAGGCCGCACGATGCGACGTACCTAGAAGTACCAAATTAATCTCTGCATGGCTGCCCCATCTATGTCCTTTGCATCAAATTGGGCGGCGGGGTTTGGATTCTCGCAATAGGCTGACACGGTGCTGGGAGAACCAACCGATGCGACGTGAGCAGAACAACGGTAGCAAGTCGGTGGGGTCACGTACCTACTGAGGCGTAAGGCACCGGTCGCGTGCTGGTCGCGCGCCGGTCGAGTCTGTCAGCGCAAAGCACAGTCTTCCACAGACAACTGGTTGTCTGTGCATGCTGCCGTCGGATGACCAGTCCACCTGCAAGCAGCCCCACATGGTAAGCACCTCCGTCACCCATGCACAGTGGCCAGCCGGGACGACTCACCTCAACACAGCAGCTGCACAGTCAAACGCGCACAAGAAGGCGGCTCGGCGAGCAAGAAACCAGACGAGGTCGTGCTCCGTCCTCCGCCGCCTTGGCTCTGCCGTCGTCAAGTTGCAAACCCGCATACGTATGGACTTCTCCCAGGCCCCTGTTTCTCTCGCTTCACCATGATCGCTACGGTGGGGACGCGCCTAACTAATTGCTCCGCACTCGATCACCCGCACTGTGCCGCCACTTCATTAGCACGCGCACGGGAATGCACTGCATCCCTGCACTACCATGCGTGTAACGACTGGTGCCCAGTGTACGGTGAACCTTCGACGCACTGGGTACACGGAGTGGTTTAAGACCCTGTTATATAATGGCCGTAGAAAGCTTGACGTCACCAGCGCCCTCTCAGATGGCGTCGCTCGCAGCCCTGCAATAGACAGATGCGACACGGACACAGTGGAATGTCTTGTTCACTGCAGATCGTGTGTCCATGCCTACCGGCCGTCCGCATGAGGATTATTTGACCACATGTGCATCAAATACACTCTCATCACCCATCAGTCATTGTGACTGCTAATCGACAGCCGACAGTGATACCACCACACAAGCAACAAGCCAGACGTGCGCCAGAAAAGCAAACCCGGGCACGGCCGACGGGATGCGGGGTGGGCATGACTCCGCCCGCGCACACGAACGTGAATATGCCCGGGCAGCCGGAGCGCGACCATGTACGTCAGGGGTGATTCGTTTCAGAAGATCTGATGAGAAGCATTTCCTTTCTGGGAACACAATGGTGTACAAATTTGTTTTGACCATGACTGCCGACTATATATAATTGTATCCAATTGTCCGTGGGTGCTGCAACTATGCTGTCATTATGCTCGTACGTGCTGCTGCTATGTTCTATACACCCTGCCGACCATACTGTGACCTATCACCTATGAAAGCCAGTCAATGCGCGAGGGATGTCAACGTCAGATCTAGATCTGCTGTCACCGACAACTCGGACACCGAGTGCGATGCAGTTTGCCCGTTCATGATGACCTTGTCGGCGTTCCCTATGGGTCCAAGGTTGGCTCGCGCAACGGCAAGGGCTTCATCCACGTCCTCCGCCCGACGCCCGAGCTCTGGACTCTCGCGCTCCCTCACCGCATGCAAATCCTCTACCTCGCGGACATTGCGTTCGTCACCTCGTGGCTGAATATCAAGCCCGGTAGCAAAGTTATCGAAGCTGGTAAGCCTACGTCCGCACTCGGCTGGCCTTCGGATTCCATATACCACAGGAAGACTGTAGCTCACAACTTCGCTGTAGATGGCGTCGAGTTACATCCGCCCGTGGTGCTGTCGAAAAGTTCCATCTTCTCTCTTCTTCCATATCCTGTCATAACTGCTTTGTCGCACGGTACAACGACAGGCCGCTTCCCGCTCTCTGAGGGCATTAGTTATATGCTCACCATCTTTCTTCTTCATCTCCTTGCCTACTAGATGTGGCGATGACATGTCGCTTTATTTCGCCGCACGCCTACATTTGCTGACACCATCTGTACCCAGGTAGGTTGCGTGTAGAAGCTGTCAGATGTCCGCCTTACGCCCTGCCCCATAGGCACGGGCTCCGGCTCGTTCTCCCACTCCGTCACCCGCACTGTCGGGCCCACCGGCCATCTCTGGTCATATGAATTCCACGAAGCGCGCACCACCAAGGCCAGGTAAGTCAGTCTCTCTTCCCACACGGGCCAGCGAGTCGGCGTGGATCGGCGGAAGCCCTGCATTTGGGGGTGTTTGGGATGTAACCTGACCGCCGTTCGGGCCCCATTTGGGGGTTTGAGATGTAACATTTTCGCTCCAGAGGCCCCATTTTCGAGGATTTTTGGGATCGGAGCATTGAGGGGATTCTCAGGGGTCCTATCAGCGGATCCTGCGCGGGCTCGCCCAGCCCGCATGCAATTGACTGTGGACGCGAGATTGGCTGCCGATATGGCCTTCTCGCTGCACTGTGTGCACTGCGCGGTTCGCGGATGCTGATGCGCGTCTGCTTCGGGTAGGGAAGAGTTCTCGCGTCACGGCATGGACGCGACAGTCACGCTTACCCACCACAACGTATGCAAGGATGGCTTCACCGTAAGCGACGTCGTTGACTCAGGTGGGTCATCTGTCGCAAACGCGCGCCCGCGTAGGGTAGTCCTGACTGGCATCCCCAGTCTTTTTGGACCTCCCCGCACCATGGGACGCTGTCGACCATGCCAAAAAGGCCTTGAGGGTGCGTAATCGGCTGTTTCATGCTCCTCCCCCTCTGCGTATGCCTAGGCTGAATTATCGGGCGTGGATAGAAAGACTGCGTGACACGGATATGTTGTTTCAGCCCGTGCATGGAGCAAGTCCTCCGGACGGTCAACGCGCTCAACGACGCCGGCTTCACGGGTATCGTGCCTCCCCCACCTCTTCCCTCTTTGTTTTGACGCTCACACGCGGCCTTCTCCCGCGCGCCAGACATTACGATGTACGACGAGAATGACTAATCTAGGGTGACATGAGCAGGTGGTACAATACACACAACAATGATGCACGCAAATCGAGTTGAAGCAGAATTACGAGCATACACAATGTATACCTTTGAAGGTAAGCCACTGCCTTACTGATTTGCGTGATCGCAGCAAGGGTTGATTGTGTACTCATTAGCATGAGTCGATGAAATGCGGCAGACATACGGCATGAGCACATGAAGCACCGGGGTTGTCGACTGTAGTTTCTTTGCACAGGGGATGGTCTCTGATGAGAGAGAGTGTGAAGAACAGCGCTCATTGTAGGAGGAGAGAGAACGGGAAGAGGGCTGTTCTCTGCATTTGCGCAGAGAACAGGAAGAGGGCTGTTCTCTGCATTTGTGCAGAGAAGAGCCCCCATTACAGGAAATGAGACAAGGGGGAGAGGGCTGTCACACGATGTGAAGAACAGCCCCCGTTATAGGAAACGAGACAAGGGGGAGAGGGCTGTCACACGATGTGAAGAACAGCCCCCGTTATAGGAAACGAGACAAGGGGGAGAGGGCTGTCACACGATGTGAAGAACAGCCCCCGTTATAGGAAACGAGACAAGGGGGAGAGGGCTGTCACACGATGTGAAGAACAGCCCCCGTTATAGGAAACGAGACAAGGGGGAGAGGCAACTCACGATATAACGACGGTCAGGATCACCTGTGGACTTTGCACTGCGCGAATAAAATATATTTTGTGCACTGCTTACACACCGTGCCTCGGGCATACTTGGCAGAACCAGCGACCAATACAGGATGCGTTAGCCATACTCGCATCGTTCAGGAGCCGAGTCGCCCGCCATCGCACCACACTCGAGATACTGTCCCAATAATCTGGGGAGCCGGCCTTGCACAGCTTCTGACCAGCGTGTGAGAGGAGCGCGTGTATCGCCTGCAAGTGCTCCAGGACGTACGGCTGCGAGACCAGTGCGTTCAGACAAGTGA